ATATGAGGTGTTATTATTTATACAAATACCCGTTTACATTGCCCGTTAGCCACTCATAACGATCACCAACACTGTCGCCGCCACGGCGGAGGACAGGTTTGTAATACGCCTTCAAGCAAACCTGCTACAGCAGCAGCATCTACACTTCTACTGCTGCAGCATCTATACCTCAATGAACCCCGTCTACTTCAACAGCGTCGACACCCATCCCACACCTTCACCTGCTTCAGCTACGTCAATACTTGTCCCACACCTGCTCCAGCAGCGTCAACACCTGTCCCACAGCTGCGTCACGAGGGTGTAAAGTCTGCACTATCAAGAGAGCTATCCGTCGACAGTACTGGAGACAAACAACTGTCATGGAGTTGCTCTCTTTATGGACAGGCTAAAATGCTTCACCTCCTGCACGCCCTCCACCGTGCTCACCACCTCCTGCACGCCCTCCACCGTGTGTTGTAATCCACAAGTTAGTAGGAATTATTAGCTAGAGGATCATTACTACAACACTTAACGAATGATGATTGGAAGTACATGTAAGTAGACAGACTATGGATCACATATCTAAGAAAGGTCAATGGATTAAGACCGAAGCTGTTTAGCCAAATGATTAATTCCTGGAAAGAGGAATTATTCTTCGTCAGGCTTCTAGGAACAAGATTACCTCTCTAGGGATAAGGTTAATCGGATTATACCTTCCTTGAGAGGTGGGGTGAAATGGTTGAGGTAGATGGCTGACTGGAGTCAGTCTGGTTGTGGAAGTGGAACTAGCAAGTCCTCGGAGGTCTCCGGTTGTGGCAGCAGCGAAGTGTAGCAGACAGCTATGCGAGAGCCTGTTGTGATCTTAGTGACCAAGTTAAGTCTGCAGTATGTGAGTATTGAATGTAAGACTAACCGGGTGTGGAGCGTTGTAGTAATCATTCCGTATTAGGGACTTAGGCGGAAGTTACGAGTGTGGGTGGTGATCGCGGAGGTCAAGTGGTCTATGGGTATTGGAAGTGTATTGACCTAATAGAGTATGTTAATTAATATAGTATTATTTGTCAGAGTCTATTCTTTGTAATTAAATGACAAAACCCGACGGCCTTTAAATACCTTCCGTATGTTCATTCATTGTGTTCCAGTACAAACCTAGTGGTACGCCTCAAGGGTCTGGTGTGTGTAGGAGTACACGGTGGTAGTAACGGTTGCTGAGGCAAGGTGTTATGTGTTGTGTAATCGCTGTGTTCGGAATGAACCGGGTTCAGCGTCACGACACGTGCTCACTGCACGCCCTCCACCTGCACGCCCTCCACCGTGCTCCCTGCACCTCCTGCACGCCCTCCACCATGCCACACTGCACCTGCACGCCCTCCACCGTGCCACACTGCACCTGCACGCCCTCCACCATGCCACACTGCACCTGCACGCCCTCCACAATGCCACACTGCACCTGCACGCCCTCCACCATGCCACACTGCACCTGCACGCCCTCCACCGTGCTCACTGCACGCCCTCCACCGTGCTCCCTGCACCTCCTGCACGCCCTCCACCATGCCACACTGCACCTGCACGCCCTCCACCGTGCCACACTGCACCTGCACGCCCTCCACCATGCCACACTGCACCTGCACGCCCTCCACCATGCCACACTGCACCTGCACGCCCTCCACCATGCCACACTGCACCTGCACGCCCTCCACCGTGCCACACTGCACCTGCACGCCCTCCTCTTATAATTCTTTAGTCCTTCCCTATAGCCTCTCCAAGATCAAATACATAGAATATTTTAAATAAAACAAACACCCACACACACACTGGCCAAGCGGCCCAACGCCACACATACGTGTCTCCCAACTGGGTTAGAATAATCTGTGTGCACGTACACAGCACGTACCTTAGTCCCGTCAGCACGTAGGTACGTGTATAACACATGTATATGTTTGACGGCCCAGGGCCTAATGAGGGAGTTTGTATTGTGATTGTTTCAGCAATGTGCTTGTATGGAGACGAGAGTGAATTTGACGAAATTAGAATTAGAAAGAGGATTTTGTCAATATTTGTCTGGCCTCCCCCTATCCAGGGCCTTAGTCATTGGACATATTACCTTAGATGGCTACCCCCCTCCCCCACCCCACCCCAACCCTTTAGTCCTATTATACAATTATATTCATCTTTATATTATCTCAAATATTATGTCTATACTTTTAAATGGTTTAACTCATCAAACAGGTGTTCTACCGAACTCATCAAACAGGTGTTCTACCGAACTCATCAAACAGGTGTTCTACCGAACTCATCAAACAGGTGTTCTACCGAACTCATCAAACAGGTGTTCTACCGAACTCATCAAACAGGTGTTCTACCGAACTCATCAAACAGGTGTTCTACCGAACTCATCAAACAGGTGTTCTACCGAACTCATCAAACAGGTGCTCCATTCCAACTAACCCTTTTTAAAATCCCACGTTTCATTTTATTTATTTATATATAAAAGAGTTCTTGCGTTCTTGTACAGCCACTAACACGAAGAACGTTTCGGGGAGGTCCTTAATCCTAATTTTCACACACACACACACACACACACACACACACACACACACACACACACACACACACACAGGAAGCAGCCGTAGCAGCTGTCTAACTCCCAGGTACCTATTTACTGCTAGGTGAACAGATCAGGGTAAAAGAAACTGTCCATTTGTTTCCGCCTCCGCCGGAGATCGAACCCGAACCCTTATGACTACGAACCCTGAGTGCTGTCCCCTCAGCCGTCAGGCCCCCTTAATCATAATCCCACGTGTCATCACAATTCGCAATTCAGCAAAGAGTATCCTAAAAAAACACACAAAGGGAGTCCTATTTATTCCCTTACCCAGATATTTCAACTTCCTTCAACAGTCAAACTATAAAACGGGCACTTCAAATATTTAAGATTTCAAGATTTCAGGTGACCATATACGTCAAGCCCTTGCCACTAGCTAGCAAGGAACAAGAATTAATGGAAAGACTGATGAAATTACCTCTAAGTTTATTTAAGAAGGGAAACGGAAGACTGGAGAAAGCAGAGAACCACAAATAAATAATAATAATAATAATGAGAACTTTGCCAACAAAAGCGGTGCTTTTATGGACTCTGAAGAAAATAGGCTTTACCATTGTGTGGTACTTTTGTCTGCTATTTAGTGATAGGAACTGGCGCCTAGGATCATATTATCTTTTCCAATTTACTTGTTTAAAAGCTTGTGTTTGGACAGGCAGCAGCCCAGCTTCAGTTCAGCATCACGCCTACAGCACGTCCTTCCTAAGGGGTGTTTTTCCCGATGTTCCCGATCCTCTTTCCTGATGTTTTCAGGTGTAGTTGCTGCGGCTATAGTTCCAGCCACCATTCGTCCCCACCGCTTCCCATAGCCATCCTGGGGGGGGGGGGCATTGGTGGACCCCATATCCACCCTGTGGGCGGTGGTGGATCCCAAATCCATCCTGGGGGCGGTGGTAGACCCCATATCCACCCTGGGGGCGGCGGTGGACCCCATACCCACCCTCGGGGCGGCAGTGCACCCCATACCCACCCTGGGGCAGCAGTGGACCCCATACCCATCCTGGGGCGGTAGTGGAGAGGGTTACAGAGGCACATAATGGGCTCAGGAACTGAACCCCACAATTCATTTAGCTAAGCAAGCTAGTCTTGATGAGCTAATTACAAAATGTAATAATTTATTATCAATAATTAATAAGGGCAGATACCGACTACAAGTACAGTCTCTTAAGCTAAGCAACTGACACATGTGGAGAGTGTCACCATTGATATGTTTGTCCTGCACACCGCCCCCCATCCAGTGGGCAGCGGTGGATAGGTTACAGTCACCTCCATTTACTACCTACAGTTAGCAAACTGGATATATTTGGTTAAAATGGCTTGTATTACAGCCCCTGCTCCTGTGTAGATAGTACTTACAGTAACGATGTACTGTAGATAGTCCACCACAGTACAGTGGACCGTCCCACATATATTGACGTGATGGACAATTAGAAATTAGAATTTGGTACTATTGAATGTGGACAAATTGGAAAAGATTTTGCATTTCTTTTGCTATTAAAAGGTAACCAAATCATCCTAGGCCTAATATACACTATCTGAGGCCTAATATAGTACATATAAGTGCTATATTAGAAATATTTAAACCTAGAAAAATTTAAGCCTAAAGCCTAGAAATATTTAAGCTTTACTTTTTCTTTTTAGCTTTACTTTTTCCGAACTCTATAAAATGAATAGCACCAAATTCTAATTGTCCATTACGTCAATATATTTATGTACGATGATCCAATAGTTACAAAAAGCACTGTCTACACAGGTGCATGGACTTGGTAGTAGCTCATTTTTTCATTAAATATTTACACATTTCTTTAACACCTGACATCGAGCTGTCTCGAAATTCACGTATCTTTACGCACTCCATCACATAATGACTGAACAACCCGTCCTCCTAATAGAACGTCGCATTTCGACGTACACTCTACCTAAGGCCCAAAATCGTCGTACTAGAAAATGATAGTAGCTCGCGAAATTGACAATGTCCCGTTTTCTGTTTAGGGGTCTTCTGGTAGGTTAAGATAAGGGCACTTTAGTACGACACTTTTTTGCCGTTGGGAAACCTTTTGAGGCCAGGCCAGAGACGGAGGGTGTGCTGAGCACCGCTACCACGAAAACCCTGCCAAAGATATTCCGTTTTATTCCAGCCACAGTGAACGTTACCTGGATCATGTAAGTGTTACCACACGATGACACCCCCACGCGGCAGCCTCACCCCACCCCGAGGGCTTCCTCCTCCTCATCATCGGGCCCATGAGGAGGAAACTGGAGATATTGCAGACTTGCAAACTTGCAAACTTGCAGCTCCTCGGAGACCACTACCCTTCAACCCCATGTACGCAACAATGCCTCTTCACTCGCATAAATGAGATTTCTGCACCTTCAGGATGATGAAATATGGAGCCCGTTCTAGGAGCCACATACCCCACACTCCCCAGCCTCTCACTGCCTCGCCTCCAGAGAGCCCGCCACCCATGTTCACCTCTCCATGTCACCACACCATCCACTACCACACCCAACAACCCCTGTTGCAGCGTTACAGCAACCATTACAGCTATACGCGCTGCAACGACCTCTCTAGCTGAATCAGGTCACTTTATCAATAATATCTTTCGTGCACCTGTTTCACATCGCGGGCTCCATACACCCGATCGCTCAGTCCTTGTCTACAACAGCTACGCTATACCAGCCTAGATGGATGTACCCCCCGTCTCTGAGGATTCACAACCTGTGCTCTCACGCTACAATGACTCGTCAACCCCCCCCCCCCCCGTCACTGTGCAGTTGATGTTCCGATCATTCATTGCATTGTCCTTTTTACAGGGCCCCCAGGCGTCCAGCACGGGCGGCACGGCACACACACGAGACCCCGTGCCAAGCCTCACTCTGCGCAACTGTCCAGGGTCTGCGACTTACCTACAGCTCCTGCCACATGGTCTGGTCAAGTATTCATCATGTGTGTGTCCATGTTTGTCCGCTCCCTGTCACTTCTGGACTCCATGACCCAGTTGGTGAGCAGTAAGCATGTGCCAATTGGTTACGTAATAGCGTACATCATTTCTTTTGTGCTCGGCAGCACTCTTCACTCAACATTTCCACATTTTTAGCATATGATGCTTATTCAAATTTATAAAATAATTCATGATTAAGAAAAATGTTTACTTTTTAAGCCTTCAGCAACATGATAAATGTGTGTGCAGTTACCTCAGCATGCAGACAGCTTGTTTTGAGCTTCCGTCACTATTCTGTTTTCTTGCACTAATTGTCAAGTTCCCTTTTACTTGCTTGTGTCAGCAGTGTTAAAACTGTTGTTGAGGAGGAATGCGTGCCTTAATCTCTAGAATCAATATTGATGTTTATACTTCCGTATCTTTGTACCTTATTTGTTCCACTTTTTTCTGATATTAATTTATTAAACCTCTCTTCAGTTAAGTTTTTATTTATTGAAAGCTATTCAGTGAGTGCCTTGGACAAATTTACAAAAGTTCTTGTTCTGTTTTATGTAAATTTCTTATATTGCATGTTGACAAAAATAACTACGTCAGTTCTGCTTCACAGTGAGGATATCACTTGGGATATCTTCAGTCAATTGTACACGGTATTTATTCGGTCCTTTGTCCCTAAGGATTATAATATTTTATGTCAAAATAAGTGCTTTAGTTCTTCCTGCCATGATAACATTATGTAACTCCGGAATTTTGAGTGTATATCCCAGTCGCCACTACCTACCTCAGGTCAATTGCAAACATATCAGTTACGAAATCAGTTGGTTATCATAGTAGTACAGGAGTAACTATGCCAGGGGTTCGCAGTTAGCAATCCATACATCATTGCTTATTAGTGACTTCGTCTCCCTGATCATTATTTATTAGCCTCTACACGAAACACCATTTTCGGTGAACCATTACAAGAAATATTGTTGATAGCTACCACAAAGGTCAGTGCAGGTCCTGCCCCCAGGTGCACTCCCTCTAGGCTCCCCGACGTACCTCCATCACATGACACAGCCCATACCCACCCACCCACTCCTAGATATTCAACTGTTGTACTCGCACCATCCAGGGAGCATAGAAATAATTGTAGTCATTCCTTGCAGACCTTCTAGATTCACGGGCAACTCTACGTCAATCACCTGCCCCCATCTTGCAACGATCAGTCCGGAAAGGCTCCCCACTTCATCGAAGTCCCTTTACCACACTGCAATGCGGCAAGATGACCCGTGGGAGGAGTCATCCCTGGCAGCCATCACTCGTCCATATCCAACCACTGTTCTTGCTTCTGGTAAGCCTGCCATCCTGGACCTAGAACCTGGAATATCCGCCCTAACTCGAACACATGACCAGTGACTCCAGCCACCACTTGCCACAAACAGGAAATCCTGGACTGCACCCAACCCTGCTCTTTCCTCCAACGCCAAGTGGATGACTTCTAGCTTCACTATGCCCAATAGTCAGCCGCCTTCATATCCAACAGTCGGTCCACCATTCTGGACCTTAGGATGGTGAACTGGCTTCATTAACCAATACTGCCAGAATTCTAAAGAGCAGTTCCCAGCATGACAGCCATAGTTTCGTGAATGCCCCTTTTCTCTTTACATGCATGCGTCAGCATGTTGAATGGATCTGTGTTAACACACGCGCTTCTGTGCCTCTGAAATACTCTTCTCTTACCCTCTTCACATGTCGTCGAATGTTGGGAACCCAATCATAAAACTCCCATTGGTCACTGGAGGCCTTTACTGGGATCTCTAAATGGAAATGCTTGTTATTTTACTGATCACTATTTGCAAATTGTTTTAGATATTTAGTGGGTACTTATCTTGTAATACTTTTTTCAATGCTATCCTGCATCAATCAGAAATTAATGCCATCTGCCCATCTTACCCCAGCTACTGAACACTAGGTGGGAGCCCCAGGAGCTTGGGGGGTGGGGGTCCGGACTCGGTCAACTGACGAGTCATGCACCGGGTGTGGACCTGTACACTACTGCTCATCAAGTCTCCACCACCTTCTGCGTCCCGGTTTTTTTCCAGATCAATGTTGGCTAGAATTTGGACTATTCTGCAGAGGCCTATGCTCGTGTTTGCTCCTTTTTTAATATTAGCTTCATATGCCTGTTTTTTTCCGAAACCTGTCTTCAGGCTAGGCTCGTTAAAGCGGTGGCCGTCCCCCTAAGATGTATTCATAAATGTTAATGTATTAAATATAGGCTTGTTCTCATGTATAATTTAAAATTAATATTTATTAAAGTTTTATGTATAGTTAGGCATATTATTGATTTGGTCAGGAGTTCAGGTTCTGTTGCTGATTGTTTAAATTGGAAATATTTATAGAATTGCCATTCGAACAGAGGTCATCAGCGAAGGTCAGAGGTCATCATCTGTTCGAGCAATGTTCAAACGTCATCAGTCGCAATTCGTAAATAAACCATTTTTCATTCATATAGAGGTTTGGCTGCATGATTAACGAGCATTTTGTCTTTGCTGATGAAGGCGGGTTGTCTTCTCAGCCTCACTGTTGTGTGGACCTGGAGTCTCTGGTCGCCACCACCTGCACATCTTTTGGGTTGCCTTCTCAAGGTGCTGACTGGCACTGCCACGCCTGCCCAAAGGTGGCAGTGCCAGTCGGGGTGGCAGTGGTGGCAGTGCCAATTACTTCGGGGTAAGTAATTACCAACAGAAGACACCAAGCCGGAGAGACTATGTAGCACCATTAGTGTCGCTGGATATCCAAAAGGCGCTAAATATTACCGAGGATGCCAATTCGAAAACAACAGCGCACAAGGCGAGAGATGTCGAAGGTTCTGGATTCACTAAGGATTCTATCGAAGGGCAAATGACCGCGAAGACGGTCGGAAAGCAAGACACACGAACTTCCTGAAATTTATGACACTCGACAAGGATATGCACGACTGTACGGACTATAAGAAGATTGATGCTTGATTGATGAAGATTAAGCCACCCAAAAGGTGGCACGGGCATGAATAAGTGGTGGCCCTTTTGAGCCATTACCAGTATCAAGAGATGATACTGGAGATCTGTGGAGGTGCGACTGCACCCTACGTGACGGGAGATGTCTCCCCCGTCGACTATAAGAAGCAGGGCGGCGCTTCATTAAGTTTACCTGCTATTCATGCCCGAGCCACCTCTTGGGTGGCTTGACGGGGCGTTACTTCTGGAAAATGAAAGTTGTTTAATGTCAACCAATATTTTTTGATTAGTTGTATATAAAAAGGGCTGCAATTGTTCCAAGTTTCAGTACTGCAGCCTAAATAGAGAGAGATTTTTAAATTTTTTAATTTTTTTTTTCAACGAATTTTACACATTTTCAAGTGTATATTTACAACCACACCTTTCAGATATAATCATTCTATGACACTTTTCTGACACATTAGCATATAATAAAAGATCTGTAGAAGGGGATTTTCCAAAACGTCTTTAGTTTTCCTAATACAAATAGTCAAAGTTCCCCCCAAATTATGCAAATATATCGTGTTTATTGCTATTTATAAAATCAATAAATGAACTTAAGAAAAAAAACGCTTCCTTCAGATTTTAGAGACATACACTTTACATATAAGGTGAACGTTTCATTTCATGTAAATTGAATAAAAAATGAAAGATATTTGAACCTTTATGCTACTTGAAAATAAATAAGTAAAAAATATAGTCTAAGGTGCTGCCATCTGTGGCTGAGGTTGACAACAAATTTCCTCCAAAATTGGCACCCTTACAGATAGGCTTACGTGCAGTCAGGTGTATAAGTTTCATGCAAATCGCCCGATAAACAAAAGATAAATGAAAAAAAAATTAACTTAATTTTTTTTAATAAAATACATTATAATTTGTTTTTAATATATGCTATTGAGATAGCTGAGCGTCATAGACATGATTTCAGTTGACACTTTTGTTTGATAATCTTTTTAGACCATTTTGGAAAAATTTTGACAATTCAATATTTTTGAACCAGATGACTTTGACCAGATGAAACCCTTAACATATACAACCTGTCAAAAAAGTTTAATTGAAATCGAACGAGTTTTCATTTATCGCATATTTTAGCCAAATTTGGAAATGATTGCCCGTGAGTTAAGCGAGTATGGCCAATACATAACCTCACCAGAACCATTTCCGACCGTCGATTACCGTGGTATGAGGAAGGCCAAGGGGACTCGCTACCACCAAGAGCCAACCCGTTCTCGACAAGTCCATTACATCCAGCGGTCGCCCCCACAGACGCATTCATAAATTTTAACATGCTGTTCATTCAAAACAAGAAATTTCTCAAATATAAATTAATATTATAATATATTAGCATATTATGCATGCATAGGTTAGGTTAGGTTAGGTATTTAGGTTCGGTTGGCGATTATTTGCATTTGTAGTACGTGGGTGAAGCATTTATAGCGATGTGGTTCGAACAAAACTCGTCAGTGAAGCACTTGTTCCGGAAGTGTTCGAACGAAATCAGTTGTGAGTCGTGTGTAAACCGAGTTTCATTCATAAACAGGGGGTTTGGCGGGTGGATGGAATCACTTTTGGATCTTTGTTTGGAGGACGGGCTGCCAAGAGCACAAAGTTTGTTACCTGCAATACCATTGACTCTGTCAACAGTCTCGGATTGAGGAATGAATGAGTAGAAATGTGAATAAGGAATGCCGTTTCAGGAAATAGGGCAAGTGCGGATTGTCTCCTTAGCGGCAGTGCCCACACGTTCATTTAAGGAAACAATATTTTTTTATTTTATTTAATTTTTTTTTTTTAGATATATACAAGAGTTGTTACATTCTTGTACAGCCACTAGTACGCGTAGCGTTTCGGGCAGGTCCCTGGAATACGACCCCCGCCGCGAAGAATTGTTACAACCAAGTATCCATTTTATTGTTGAGTTAAACAGAGGCTACAGTTAAGGATTTGCGCCCAGAAAATCCTCCCCGGCCAGGATACGAACCCATGACATAGCGCTCGCGGAACGCCAGGCGAGTGTCTTACCACTACACCACGGAGACTGGTAAAAATATAGCTGGGAATTCAGCAAAACTCACCTGTCTTAAATCTACTGGAGATAAGATGTGGCCAATATTGAATTTCGACCACAGGATACACAGGATTAAATGACTCCAGGGCCATGAGGGGTGCGAGAGTCAGTTACAATTTTTTTTTTTTTTTTTTTTTTTTTTTTTTTTTTTTTTTTTTTTTTTTTTTTTTTTTTTTTTTTTTTTTTTTTTTTTTTTTTTTTTTACATGCAGAGCATGCAAATTAAATACAATAAAAATACAGAATACATAAAGGAAAACAATAGACCACCGGCCAGAAGGGCCGACAGCCGAGCACAACAAAACAGCATAGCACAACAAAACACATACACAAGAAAAACATGAAAAATACAGCATACATCAAAACATAAAACAGAATACAATGGCAATCCAGCAATCACAGTACAAAACAACACCTCCAAAAAACAAAACATACAACAAGAGGCAACAGGTAAAGCAACAGAAAATCAATACATTAACGCCCCGTAACAAAAGGCGAGGCCAATTACAATAAAAAAGCAGGCAAAAACACAAGTCACTAAACACCGGCCTGAAGGGCCAACAGCAAAAACACAAGAAAACAAAAGAAAAATAAAACACACAGCAAGCACACAGACTACGAAAAGATCTCATTCTTGTCCGGCCACTCTTCCGCCGGGAAGCGAATACAGTACGCTTCCCAAAGTAACAATGTCCTCCGAAACATGGTCACTATTGAGCGTACGAGGATCGGGCATTAACTCTGGCACACCCACAATAAAACACTTAGCCCGACGAATCCAGATGGTAGAAGGGCACCACGGAGCAGGACGCACACGGTCAACAATTTCAAAATGCAACGGATGGTCAGCATCCATCGCCACTCCGGAGGCCAAGATGAGAGGGAGAGGCTCCTTCCCAAGAGGCCGGGCAATGGGCAGCACACAGAGCCTCCTCAGCTGCCTCACAGGGCTCCTCGGCAACCACTGAACGTTGCACCTGCCGGGACCCCCCACGCTTGGCATCCTTTTTCAGCACCAGCTTGATGCCTCTGCTCGTACCAGGATCCACACCATCCACGCCCGTAGGAGCAACCACCTCCCACTGCGGAGAACCTTCCGCAGGAGAAAGAACAGGAGGTAAATTAGAGGCACAATCATCGTCAACAGCCGACACATGGACATCAGCCACCACCAGCGTCGTAGAGCACGAGGCACCTGGAACCGCCACACCATCTCCCGAAGCTCCACCCGCGTCGTAGTCCTCCATATCAGCCCAAGCAGTAGAAGAGCGCCTAGAACGCTTGGGCACTGGCCGCACATCCTCACAGCCGGAGGCGGACCCAGAACCACGGCCCTCACGAACCGGGCGAACCAACGCCCGTCGCAGTACTTCAGCAGCCTCAACCACATGGGGAAATGGGCCGCACACAACAGGATGCTCCGCAGCACCCCCAACACCCAACACAGCCGGAACACCTGGCGAGAGCGCAGAACCAGGCGCAGCAGCAGGAGTCGAGGAAGACGCAGACGCACTCGGCTGAGGGGCAACAAGCACCGGGGGCATGTCGGGTGACGCAGGAGGGGCCGCATCAGCAGCGACTGGGACCTGCTCCACTTCATCTCCGGAATCCACGCCCTGAGGGAGCGGCGGGAAATCCTCCTCCCGGAATAAGTTAACGGGCGCAGCAGGTGTCTCGGAGCACCCGGCAGCCTGATGCCCCAACTGGCCACACCGGAAACAAGTACGGGGCTGCCGGGCATAGTACACCCGAACGTGGTAGCCCAGCAGCCGGACAGAAGATGGGATATCCGACCGCAGGCGCATACCTAATGTACGGACATTTGTCTGCTTCCCAGCATACTTCCCCGAGGACAGCTTGTTCACCCGCACACTGATGACTGCACCATACCTCCCGAAGAAGCGCCGGAGAAGGTTTTCAGGGAACTCCAGGGGCGCACCGTGCACACTGACATATGTCAGGGCACCACTTCGGTCCGAGATCGTAACGGAGCCGGCGCCATCCGGCAACTGCAATGAACGCCCCTCGTTCCGCCGGAGGAAGTCCCGATACTCCTCCTCCCCCACGAACTTGACAATCACCCGGTGGGCCGTAACAAGCTCAACGCCATACACAGCGTCCACCGGGACACGAAGCATGTCACACATAACTAACTCAACGGCCGGATAACCAGCCTTACACGTGAATTCCAGTCCCACGCAATTTACCCGCAACACAGGAGGAATAGCCAGGCCCCCCATGGCAAAACGGCCACGTCAGCACGCAGCCAGGCAGGCAACAACACTGGACAGGGAGGGTAAGAGACCCCCACACCCCCTGCCGGCGAAAAAACTGCAACCTCCCCAAACTGCCGGAGTGTTCAGACGACACGTCTTCACCCTACGGCTGCTCAGGTGGAACTCATCAGTCAGTTACAATGATAAAGGAACGTTGACGTCGCAAAAGCAGTTGACGAAGTGCTTACAAATCACATACAGTTCAGCCGTGAAGATGCTAGTCTCCGGGAGTAGGCGGCACATGTAGGTTTAGTCCGGAAAGATTACGGAGTAGCCAGCACCGTCGGCAGACATAGACCCCATCTGTAAATAGGGCAACAGATTGCTAGTGCGAAGACAAATGTTATAGGAAAAGGCGTTTCGTAACTATAGGAGGGGGTAGAAGTTTTTACCATGTGGGTCAAAGTCTTGCAAATTTTGGTAAGTGGGACCCTTCATGGGGGCAAGGATGGAGCAACACGGGGAGAGAGATTGCAAGCACAAACCAAATGGAAGGCTTGCAGGCGAGACATCATTTTAGAAAAAAGGAAGGTGGTGAAATAGAACAGGGCCCACCGCAGAGGCAGCAGCCTAAACTCGACAAACGCAAGAATAAGGCTGTTGCAGAGACCTTGCGAGGTAGTGAAGGCAGTAACGATCTCTACGATCCTGTAGTAACAAGACGCCTATATGGTCCATAGAATTACCCAGAACCCCCCAAAGCTTCTTAGCATTACGTAAATAATGAGGATATATTGAATATTTACATACTATAATGTTGCTGCTGAATGTAGAACGTGAAAAAACATTTTTACCCTGAAATAATATCATTTTATAACGAAATTAGATAAAAATAGGTGATAGGAGACGCCACAGAAGTCGACGATCTGAGCGCCTAAGTTGTGGAGCGACTTATCCAGGTATATTGTTGCCTGAAGAGTGTTGGCACATCAGCCTCCTGTACACAGTGATTGCATCGTCGTAAATGTAATAATAACTAGTAATTAACTAGTTATAATAACTAGTAATAGTAATTAACTAGTAGAAAGCATGTTTATAACAATGTGAAGCATAAATAGCCAAAAACATAACTGATATTGAGGCAGTTATGTAATATATAACTGACGTATCATAAATAGCCA